TTCTAAAAGTACATCATCTCCGTATTTTAAAAACTAGAGATGATATTTTGTAGGATTTTAAGAATTTGATATTTCTCATTATCAACCATTTTCTTATCAACCATTATTATATCATCAACCATTTTCTTTAACGTGAATCTTAATTAACCCAAATTTATCTAAATTAAAGTAATTAAAACCAATCTAAATTAAGCCGATTTGAATTGTAGCTAAACTGATGCTTTTTGTTTAGCCTTACCAAGCCAATTTTACTTTTTTGTAACGTTGGACATGAATAATTTAAAGTTAAAAAGCAAGTTTTTTTAATCCTGGCAAATATTGGACCTTTAAACTAAAACTCTAACGAACAAAAGAAAATACTTTTTAAGAAATAAATGTCACATGAATTTTAACCATAAACTTCTTTTTGTAAAATAAAAATTTTAGTTCAGATTTGAGAAATGAGGAAAGTCTGAGAGAATTCGGAATAATAAACTTGTCCGTTTCTACAAACCCTTCATTCGAGTTGAAATTTAGAAATATGAACATTTTCAAAATTTAATTTTTATATTAAAAGAAGCTAAGGCTCTTATTTATGTTTCGTTTTGGGTTTTTTAACACTAACAAACCTTCGTTAAAATGCGAACTACGTTTGAAAAAACCATAGTTTTGAAGCATCAAAGTAATATTTAACTGTAGTTTAAAAAAAAAAGTAAGTAAGTATCAAGGGTTAATAATGTTGCTTTGAATATAAGGTTTCCATCAAAAGAAAAAGCAAAATTTCCCGATCAGTTTCAATTCGCAAATTTTTTCGCGAAAATGAATTTTGTGAAAAGAAGTGAATAAAATAATGCTGAATTTTGCGAAAAATTGCGAATTATTTTGCATTTTTTGTTATTTTGGCGAATCAGTTTTTTGCGAAACAGATTAATGCAAAATTTTCGGCGGAAAAATTTTTCTATTTAGTTGGAAACCATATATACTCAAACAGATTTTAGTATAGTAGAGGGCAACGTAGAATTTGTACACTCTCGTACAGCTGCATTCTGACGTCACAAGTGTCAATTCAGTTTTTGTGTCCGACAAAATTATTATTAGTTGTGCTAATTTAGATCTTTCAGTAAAACAAGTGAAATTTTATGTGTTCTTTATTTTTTGTTTTACATTTTTTTTTATTTAATCTTGGAAAACATGTCAACTATTGTGAGAAAATTTTCTTTTTCCTTGTTATATTTGACACTTGTGACGTCGTGTAAAGTTGGTCTATTTCTATGTTGCCTCCTATTGTACTTGATAATCTATTTGTATATATACGGATATATGAATTTGCCTGTGGCAGAATTTGCCATCTGATAAAACCATCATAGCAAATTTTACAACTTTGATCATAAAGATCCTTTTTTTAAAGTCCTTTTTTATCATAAAAACAATCGTTTTTATCAGAATGTTTGATTTTTTTACGTTAACAAAACAAAAAAAGCCTATTTTCAAAACAGTGAAACCTGCCTAGTGCCTATCCCTAAGCAGTGAAGCACAAACTATAGTCTAATAAATTAAACAATAAACATAGTTGAAGATTTACTGAAAGTCACCAGTTTGATGCAAGTACATTGTAAAACTTAATTATTGCAGTAAATATAATGTTGGAACCGGTAAATCATATCACGAGGTGGTGGGGGGGGGGATAAAACGGGCAACACTAGAGAACATTTAAACCTTATCAACTTAAACAACAACAAAAAATGTTTTTATGCATAGGAAGATCAAACGGGAGTTTGGTTTTTCAACAAAATGAAGAAATAGTCCGGAACTTTTTAAACTATATTAAGCTACAGATCTGAGGTTTTTTATTTTATAAACTCTGTGCCACATGTTAATTTTTTTCAAAGTACAGAAAAAGTATTTTTTATCATTTTTTCCGACCACGAACCCCTGACCCTTTAGTAAAAGTATATGCAACCTAAAGTCTGACCGCGTCAACCTTGTTGCACCGGCTATTGACTATCTGCTTTAGTTACCCAATGTCCGGGCGATATATTACAAACTGGGACGGGAAAGGTTGACCCGGCTCGGAAATTCAAATGTACTACGGCCGGCTGCATGACGGCTGCCCGTGCGACGTACTTTTAGAACTTTTTAAACCCCTCCCTAGCGGTTATCCCTTATACCATTAAAGTTAGATGTTTATGTATATGAGCTTGCCTTGAAAAGTTGGATTAGGGACGCACTCCCCTATATCTCAACTCTAAAGGCTAAANATCTATATTGGACTAAAGCAGTCCAATTGGGATACAATTAATATTCTTAATACTTCTAACCACATCACAAGCATAAAACAGGAAAAACCCACAAAATTAATTTTTATTTGACGGATTTGTAATCCGCGAAACCCATAACTGGTTCTATAATGGCCTCCTCCAGCTGTTTAGATATTGATATTTCAAACATGGAGAAGAAACAGTTTTCAACCCAACTTTCTTGGCTTAAATAAACAAAGGAATTTTTAAAGGTTTAAATGTTTAAAGATAGTTTTTTGAAAGTTGAAAGGTAGTTATTTTGTTAATATTCACTGCATGAAATTTTTACTTCTAAATAGGGTGGGGGAGGGGGGGGGTCTGCCATTTTTGTTTTAAGATAATTTTTCTGACCATCCCCTTTTTAACAACCTATTCTCCTTGTCGTTGTTTTAGTCTAAATACCTCAAAGGTCGAGGAATTTCAATAAAACCCTATTATAGATTTATTGTCCAAACTTTAAACCTCAAAGAAGATTAATAGGAAGGGGCCTGTGTGCAGGGACAGGGGTAGTATAGAATAAAGTTAAATTTTTTTCATTTTCTTAACCCTCTCATGATTGGGCTATTTTTGTCTAATACCAATTTAAGATGGGGGAGTTTGTTTCGTTTTGGGTTTTTTAACACTAACAAACCTTCGTTAAAATGCGAACTACGTTTGAAAAAACCATAGTTTTGAAGCATCAAAGTATATTTAACTGTAGTTTAAAAAAAAAGTAAGTAAGTATCAAGGGTTAATAATGTTGCTTTGAATATAAGGTTTCCATCAAAAGAAAAAGCAAAATTTCCCGATCAGTTTCAAATTTGAAAAATGTCCTTAGTTCAGCTCATTCAACAAAAATGATACCTCTAACTTAATGGTTAGGGTGCAAGGAAGGCGTTAAAAAAAGTTTATAAAGTACATCAGACAACATGTTAAAAATTCATATTTTTACTTTTCAAATGAAATTAATTTTAAATCTGTAAATTAATTATTGAAAAAAGTTAATTCTGTTTTATAATTTTAAAAATTTGACAGTCCTCCACCCTACCGGTACCCTAAGCATTAAAAAAATGCAAAATTTGTTCACAACTATGACTGTGAAAAAAGTGAAAAAGTATTGCTCTAGGTGAGGCGTGGTGGAAACATTCCATCTCCCCCATCTTGATAGGGTTAAAAAAGGCTTGACACGTGGTTCGGACTGTTGAAGTCTCTTGCAATACATTAGAAAATATGCTTTATTTACATTGATGCTGTTTTAATCTTTCTCTGAGTAACAATTAGAATGATTTTAATATTTAAAACAAGAATATAACCTCCAATACAAACAAATATGCTTAACCCTATTCCAGGGAGGGGTCCCTTGGACACCCCCCCCCAGAATTTCAAATTTTTTATTTTTCTAACTAACGAATGCCCCTTACTTAAGGCTCAAATCGGGGCTTTTACACCTGCTGCCTGAGTTCACAGGCATACTGTCTGAATGCCTTCTTTTACTTTTACCCGACTAAATCTATATTTAGACCTACTTTCGTTCATTGGATTTCGACTTTTATAGCTCTTTAGAAAGCCTTGAACTAAAGGAAGCAGATTGCACAATTTTTGCGAAGAACTTTTTAATAGACTTTTGCACAGATGCATTTATAGAGAATTTGCCCATCTTCAGTTTTCCTTGAATACAAATTTTGTTTCTGAAAACTTTGCAAATATTTTGCATATTTGAATTCACCGCGATAAGGGTTTTTCAAAAATGTATTATTTATCATATTTCGCGCACTTTTTGTTTTTGCAAATTTTGACTTGATTTTTCAATAAATATTTGAAATTTGAATTTTTTTTGCAGGTTATTAAAGTAGAGTCCAAGGGCTTTCCAAAAATGTATAAAATAGAGGGGGGATCCCTGGGACCCCCCCCCCACCCGACTATTTTGGGTAAACCAGACGTCAGCCTGAATAGGGTTAAAGAATATTGTCGTGAAGGGGAATTGTTTAAGGGTCACTTCAGATCTGAAAACTTTTCCGGCACTTTTTCTAACTTTTTTTGGCACTTTTTCTAGTTTTTTCCACTACTTTTTCTATCCTTTTCCGGCACTTTTTCTATCCTTTTCCGGCACTTTTTTTAACTTTTTCCGGCACTTTTTCTAACTTTTCCGGCACTTTTTTAACTTTTTCCGGCACTTTTTCTAACTTTTTCCGGCACTTTTTCTAACTTTTTTTGGCACTTTTTCTAACTTTTTCCGGCACTTTATCTAACTTTTTCCGGCACTTTTCTAACTTTTTCCGGCACTTTTTCTAACTTTTTCCGGCATTTTTAAGAACTTTTTCCAGCACTTTTTCTAACTTTTTCCGGCACTTTTATAGTTTTTTTTCTGGCACTTTTTCTAACATTTTCCGGCATTTTTAAAAACTTTGTCCAGCACTTTTTCTAACTTTTTCCGGAACTTTTTTTAACGACCTAAGCGCAGTGTTTTCTGTGTTCTTACAATTCATGGGACTGCGGTTGCAATATCAGATGACTCTCCATTCATAAAAACGACATTTCCAGTTTAGAATTGAGACTTAAAAAGTTGTTTTCTTCTTAAAAGATTCATCATTTTTAATTAATGTTTCTCTACTAAGTGAATGGCGCATTTGAAGTTTTTTTTGTCCAAATTTTCCTCTGAAGATAAAAACATTTGTAGCGTTTTTTTTGTGGAAAATACACTTTTCTTCTCTGATTAATAATATATTAATTTCTTTGTGCTTTTAGAATGGCATTTCGGTCGAGCAGTGTGTCAAGTTTTCCTTTCCATAGACTATACAGCCTCAACAGCCTCTATATTCAACCTTTTTATCCTCTCCTTAGACAGGTGAGTTCTATAGTCACAGCCTCTATATTCATTCTATTTATCCTCTCCTTGGATAGAAAATTTCTATAGACACAGCCTCTATATTCATCCTTTTTTTACTCTTCTTAGATAAGTGAGTTCTAAAGACATAGCCTCTTATTCATCCTCTTTGGTGTTTGTTTAAATGCCTTCTTTTTGAGCAATAATTTTATGTACAAATTAAAAGAAAATGGTATTTAAGGCTTTGAGAGCTAGTTTTTGTACATTTTTTTGAGACTTTTCAAATTATTAAATGCCTTTTTTTCGAAATTAGAAAATGTAAATACTTTTAAACTAGAAGTGTTGGCCGGCGGTATTGCGATTTAAAATTCCAAAATGAGAATATAAAATTTAAACTTTTATTTTCAAACTGTGGTATTGGCGGTAGTGAAATTTGAAAATCGAAGATCCAAATAAAAAATTTCAACTTATATTTTTAAACTGTGGTATTGAGGGTATAGTGAGATTTGAAAATCCAAATCCAAATTCAAATTTCAGTCTTTTTCTGTGTGGCTATAACCTTTTATTGAAAATATCGCATATTTTAGGTTTCAATTGATCTCTTTTACTCGCTTATCTCTGATATAAATTATTATCTACATATTTCCTATTTAGATATTGATCTCTGTTATTCTCTTATCTCTGATATAAATTATTATCTACATATTTCCTATTTAGATATTGATCTCTGTTACTCTCTTATCTCTGATATAAATTATTATCTACATATTTCCTATTTAGGTATTGGAGCATAACATCACCACTTAGATACCTTAGACAAAGAACAAAAAAGCGTGCATTGATCATGATAGGTAAATACGTCACCTAATTTTGCATTTTTAAATCTTGACCTTGCAATCTGGCAATGATTGAATAGGATGCGATAATGTTTCATAATAATGTCCGGTTATCTATCAAGTTAGCTTATATTTTCAAAAAAACACATATTTAAATATAATCCAACATGATGTGTTATACCCAACACGACATTTATGGCATAGGGGATTAAGTAATCATTGTCCGAACTCAAATCCTTATCTCTTTGTAAACCTTTGATATTTCAAACTTAGATTATTTGATCTAACATTATTCATTGTTTGAAATATCTAAGGTCTACGACATTGGATTGCAAAGAAATTGGGATTAGAAAATTAGGATTTTGTGTGATATACTCTTCTAATTTTTTCAATTTTTTCTAGATTTTGTTTGTTTAGGGTTGGCGTGGCTGGGTTCAGCAACTTGGTTTGTTCCTGTTCTGGGCTGGCATCATTTCCTCTACAGCGGAACTAGACAAACAGAGGTACAGGGTGTCTCACGAAACATGACAGTTGGTAAATAGTTTTGAATGTCTTCTTCCATATACTATATTATATATTAAAGACTTTTGCAACAAACTCAAATTTTCTTATTCCAATATTTTTGCAACCTGATGATGTAAACTATAATATTTCAAACTTATGTTATTTAGATCTAACAGAATTCATAGTTTGAAATAAAAAATGTCTACGGCTTCGGGTTGCAAAGATACACTGATTTAAAAATTAAGTTTGTGGCTAGAACTCATTTCCTTTACTATTTTATGAATGCCATATAATTGTCATTTTTCGTGAGACACCCTGTATCTAGCTGTGTTAACCGTGATTGAAACTTTTTATCTAATTAAATAATTACTTAATTAAGTAATTAACCAGAAGGACGGGTTGGTTAAAAATAGTCTTGAACTAAGTAAGTTTTTATGTTTTGCTTATTAAAGGTTAATTAAGAAAAGTTTTTTTTCTAACCCTAATAAATTTTTCTTCAACGGAAAGGTCAAGGAGAGACCATAGGGAACCAGAATATTTCAAAACCATTAAAATTACAATGATTTTACAAATTTCTTAAAATTTTTTAGATGTTTAAATACTTTTATATTTTTCACCACGAAAACTAGGATTTTTCATCAGAAAACAATTTTCAACCTCATAAAAAAAAAATTCGTCCGAAAACAAATATTTATTTTCAAGAAACCGAATGTTTTTTCTTCAGGAAAACGAATGTGAAACTGAATTTGTTGGTTCTGTTCCGTTTAAAGTTCTGTCCGCCATCTTTAATTTCCATATCCCTACAGTATGCATGGTGGTTCTATATGTCAGGTATCAAGGTCATCGTTGATAACAAATCATGACATCATAGTTTTAAGAAAATAGGGACCACTGCCACATGGGACAAATTGTTGCATAATCCGAACCGATACAAGGATTTACCGGCATAGTGTAATCATACAACATATACGCATTTGCTCGTACCAGCCCGTCTAGTGTAGGGGAGCAACAAGCACTTTTGTGAGGAGGGGGCGAAATTTTATTTTTGAATGGGGATTAACGTGTAAAGTGAAAGTCCTGCTTTAAAGGTTTGAAGTTGAAAAAAAATTAATTTTTTAGTTGTTGCATGCATGCTCAGTGTTCAATGCAAATCGATTTGTTTCAAATCTTAAAAAAAAAAACAATTATATATTCATTTATAAAATTCCTGGCCATTAAACCAATTATATATTCATTTATAAAATTCCTGGCCATTAAACCAATTATATATTCATTTAGAAAATTCCTGGCCATTAAACCAATTATATATTCATTTAGAAAATGCCTGGCCATTAAACCAATTATGTATTTATTTATAATATTCCTGGCCATTAAACTAATTTTATATTTATTTAGAATATTCCTGGCTATTAAACCAATTATATATTTATTTAGAATATTACTTGCTATTAAACCAATTATATATTTATTTAGAATATTACTTGCTATTAAACCAATTATATATTAATTTAGAATATTACTTGCTATTAAACCAATTATATATTTATTTAGAATATTCCTGACTATTAAACCAATTATATATTTATTTAGAATATTCCTGGCTATTAAACCAATTATATATTTATTTAGAATATTATTTGCTATTAAACCAATTATATATTTGTTTAGAATATTACTTGCTATTAAACCAATTGTATATTTATTTAGAATATTACTTGCTATTAAACCAATTATATATTTATTTAGAATATTCCTGACTATTAAACCAATTTTATATTTATTTAGAATATTCCTGACAATTAAACCAATTATATATTTATTTAGAATATTCCTGGCCATTAAACCAATTCTATATTTATTTAGAATATTCCTGGCCATTAAACTAATTTTATATTAATTTAGAATATTCCTGGCTATTAAACTAATTTTATATTTATTTATAATATTCCTGGCTATTAAACCAATTATATATTTATTTATAATATTCCTGGTCATTAAACCAATTATATATTTATTTATAATATTCCTGGCTATTATAAACCAATTATATATTTATTTATAATATTCCTGGCTATTAAACCAATTATATATTTATTTAGAGAATTCCTGGCCATTAAACCAATTATATATTTATTTATAATATTCCTGGCAATTAAACCAATTATATATTTATTTAGAATATTCCTGGCTATTAAGCGAAGATCGGTAGATATTGCTCAGATTGCCATGCAGGGTAATTCACCAGGTATACATATACAGTGTGTTTCAATTAACATGACAATTTAAAGCAAGTATATTACAAAATTTATAGTTACTTCTGCCGTTAACCCAATTACTTGATCCTAAATTACGATTTTAGCTATTCTTCCCTATAAAAGTCGACCCACTCAACTTAGAATCTCAAAACCAAACTAAAAATATTCTTGTGGTTCTCTCGAGTTTCACGATCAAAATTGGAGACAAATCTATCCAGGGGGTTTATGAGACAGAGATCATTACTTTATATATACACTCAGTTCAAAGAGCATCTTTTTTATTGTTTCTGCGCCTAAAATTGGGCAAGAAAAAATCAAACACTGAAAACCTGTTTACTATTACTAATATTACACATAGTGCCCTTTTGGTTTTCAATCAGGCACTATCAGGCACTTTGTCAAGTGCCAAGCCCCAGTTTACTGAAAATTCGTTAAGTCTACTTTCCAACTTATTAGGCAAGTGCAAAACTTTTTTCAAAATGGACAGAGACCTGTGAAATGGAAAGTATACCGCTGAAATCTGAAAGATTCGGGGCTAAAATAGTCGTACTATCACGAATTCTATTAATGAGAGTACATTTGAGAGGTTAAAAAGACCTTAAAAGGTATTTCTTGCTGGTGTTAGTGAGTGAGATTTTAGAAAACTGAAGCAAGTGGTCTCCAAGAACCTTTGCTAAATCATGAAGTTTATCATTAACACAGCTGGACTACCAAATGTCTCCAAAAGCGCCAAGTACAGTATTCAAAATTTATTCGGAAAGGTCAAAAAAATTATACAGTATTACCGAAAAATAGGCAAAAAAACGAGGCAGTAAAGAACATATTGATTAAAATTGGCCAGATTGTACTCACAGATGAGGTCCATAGTCTAGATTGGTTCAATAGAGTTTGGGTGGTTGATGGACAAAATCCTCAGAGCAGGTTTAGACAGGTTTAGGGAGGTGGTGGAGTCATGGTTGGGGCTGGAACTGTATAGAAAATACCATCATTGGTCAAGTATGGATCCCCGATGGAATCAAGGTCAACTATGAGCAGCACTGTGTCACCTTAGTTTCAGCAGAAGTAAATATTTACATTTACTGATAGCGCCGATTGTAGAATTCATAACTCTAATTGGATAATGAGATAGATAAGGATAGATGTTACCACCATACTATTTCTATTGGTTCAAAATAGACAACACCACTTGGCATACAGGAGTGGTGTTCTCTTAAACCTGATCCATAGGATCTTGGCCATCAACCACTAAATCTTTATCGAACCAATCTTGTCCATTATTCTTCAGGATCCAACCTACTCATTCATACACTTTTTCTGCTGTTTTACTTTGAAAGGGTTCTGTAATAACCTTTCGTGACCTATCACTTTTGGAGATCTTTGGTCGTCCAGCTGTGTTAATGATCAACATGGTGGATAAGCTGGGGTTCTTGGAGACCACCTGCTTTAGTTTTCTTAAATCGCAGCCACTAACACCAGCAAAAAGCCTTTGAAGACGGATTGACCACTCAAATTTACTGTCATATTCAAAATTTCTTATAGTGCGATGATTTTGGCTCCGAATTGTTTAGATTTAAAAAAAACATATTGTAACTATCGTAATTAAAGACTTTTAATCCTAGAAAAACGGCACTATCCTCTAGATTATTGATCAGGCGTGTCGTTGTGAATCGATAATTTCCAATTTAGCTTGTCACTTGAAATTACTCTTACAGTTACTTTACAGGAACTATATTACCCTTTTTATACTTTAATTTAATAATTCTTGTATATTTTTACCTAAAATATTGGAGACCTTTGATATTCAACCTTAAACGTATCAGATCAAATTGTTTAAGTTTGAAACCGGGTTGACAAAGGAAAAATGTTGGATGTGCAACTGGGCTACTATACATTTGAATTGTAAAAATCTGAATTTTTAAAAACAATTTTTATATTTGATTCATGTAACCTCAAGATCTAAAAATTCACACGTTTCATAAATAATGAATCCTATTTGTACGCCCGGTAATTAACCACCCACCCCTAACCGAGGATGATCATTTTTAGGTATTTTTTTTCGTGAGGAAATGTCTATATTCCACTCTTATATATATTCTATTCTCTTTGAGAACAGTACAAGTGTGCATAATAAAATAGTCAGTTGTGTAGTCTAGGGTATGTTAAAAAAATAAAAATAATACTAATGATAACGATAAGCTACAATGCTTTACAAAAAAGTTTAATTTCTCTAAAATATAAAAAATATTCTCCCGCAAAATACGCCTTGCTTGCTATACGTTCAGTTTCTATAATGTTTGACTTCGGAAAAAGAATTAAAAATAAATGAAAGATCACAGGAAAAGGGGAATTGTCAATAAACTATGTTTCTTTCTTTTGCAAAACTCTGATGGGATAAGAAGAACTGGTCGACTACTGTTCATTTTCATTCAGTGTAAGAAGATCAGATTATAGATCGTACTTTACAGAGACAGGATGTCCCTAGAAACTTAATTTTAAATTTTTAGATAATTCTGAGAAATGATGCCAATTTTCCTACACCTGCATTAAATTTGAATATATTAGCACTTTGAACTGACAACTTCGGAAGACTGCTATGTCTGTTTGTGATTTGATTTTTAGAAATATGAAAATTCTTCATTCAAATTTAGCTTGGCTTTGCAAACCTTAATTGGAATTTGATTAAGTAATTATTTCGAGAAACTTTTTCAGGTTTGAGGGCTTTATTTTGTTCTTCTAATGTTTAGTGTATTTAAAACCGCTTTAAGTTAGTTTAAAATCAGGTATGACTCATAAATAGCAAAGGTTTACACGATCAAGTTGAAGAACTCAGAGTGCAGTATAATGGTCACATGATACAGACACCACCACGTGACCATTACACTGCACTACCATTGGTGGGAGTTCTTGTGACGTAATACGGACTTATAACTAATATTATCAATGATATCTATTAAAGATAAAAATAAAAATTATAAAATAATGATGGGAGAAAACTTAAGTTACAATTAGCTTTCTCCGGGATATCTCCGTTTTCAGATTGGTTGCATATTTTTTGAAAATGATCTGATTAAACCTGCTATTTCTATATATATATGAATTTTCGTATAAATTTGACACAGTTTTTTATATTAATTTCTCGAGACACAAAGGCAAGATATAACTTACATAGGTCGCAATCAAAAGCTATAGTGATTAGCTTTTAGCCTATACGGCCTTTCAATTTTCCTGTACAGTCCCTTTAATGATAAAAGTCCAATTTTAAATTCATCTGTTTATTGTGACACCCCCTTTTTTATATTCTAGGAGAGCAGATTCCAGGGATGAACGATGAGGATTCATATACTGAAGCTCAAGTAGAAGGACAAGGTTCAGGTGGGTTCAAAATGGTTAAAATGGTACCGTTGTGAATCTGGAAATTTAAATTGACAGGCCCTTCAACAAATTACTTTATATTTGTACTTGTAAAACTATCAGCATAGAGAATAGAATATCTATTAGAGGGGAATTTAGAGAATCTCTCGGTATGAATTTTGTCAGTCCCTTTCTGCCCTTTAAAGCTGTTTAATAAACTTTATAATGAATTAGGTGAGTAAAAAACATCATTTGATTTATAGTTATAACGGAAAATCATCGTTTGTAAAGTGAGGGTTAAGATTAGATCAATGGGACCTCGACACCGTCATAGCCTAGTCGAGCTATTTCAGCNAGCATAAATATGTGAAGTACACCTGCAGTATGGAAACAGTACAACAAAATGGCCGTTTTACACTTTGTTTCTAGTAAATTCCCCTCTAATATATATTCTATTCTCTTTGACTATCAGATCTGTTTACCTTACATTGCCAGAGGTGGAAACTATTGTTTGGATGCCCATAATCCTGATCACACTATCTTGATATCCACTCGGGGCACTTTTGATTTTAAAGAAGAATCTGCTAGATCTCTTGATTTCGTATATTCCTACTTTCTCTGTGAGCCAAGATTAGCACAATAAAGATGAGCGTACTGTACCCCTTTTTCCAAAATAATTAAAGTAGCATTCTAAGTTTGGTTGTCTGTTTGTCCGATCATAACTCATGAAACCCTTAACTGAATTGCTTCAAATTGTAATGGATCGACGGAACTAACACACTGCACACTATAGTAAGCTAGTAAGGTAGGTCGAATAGGCCTATGATAGGTCGGGTATTGTAAAAAGCCTGGCCGCGCCATCAAAGTTAAACCTGAGCTGGTACAGAACCGCGCGTCACCGAGGCCGGTACAAGGGGTTGGTCCGGTTCAAATTAAAATTGACCCTAGTTCTCTATGAACTCATTAGCAACACTTAAACCATTACAATTTACAAATTTAAAATAGAAATCAATTTGTTTCATTCCATTTTAAATTGCTGACATCCCTGAAAATAATGATCGTTTAAACTTTTGTATTATAATTTTTGTTACATAAATAACGAAAACTCCACCAAAAACACCAGAAACAAATATAAAAACCACCACATAATAATGAAAAATCTACTTTGAATTGGTAAAAGTTGTATTACAAAAAATGCCACAATTTTTATCAAATAGTCCAGGTATCACCAATTGTGCAGTGTAAATAGACTCATTTCACTTTATAATTGATTTGCAGCGCACTAATAAATCTATTTGCTTTGGAACATGTTCAAATCCACTTTTATTTAATGTCGTCTTCCTACTCCACAGTTTTCTGGTTCTCATTGTATTAAACTACAGGGTGTCCCAAAAAACATGGGAATTCAGTGACGAATTCGATATCGTCTTTGTTCTGTATTAGCATTGTATTACCTTATTTCAAAAGCCATAATATTATTATGTCTGCTAGAGTTTATTTTATGAAAACAGTAAATTGCTGTCAAGATGTGTTCATAATTTCTCTGCAAGATGAACAGTGAAGACGGACAAGTTTACACTGTTTGTATACTGCAATTTTCTTGTTTTACTAAGTACACCCTTATGCAGTCAAAACATAAAAAAAAACAAAATGTGAATATAGCAGACGAAACTCTTACAGATTACAGCTTTCTCAGTAGGTATCACTATACTAAATCAAAGTATTATTTATAAAAACGATATCGAATTCGTCACTGAATTCTCATGTTTTTTGGGACACCCTGTAGCATATTTGACACCAATTTCTAACATATCCCATTACAAGCCTTCAACATGTTCTGGCAGGTTAGGGTATACTTCAACAATATTGGAATAGAATATAATATTATAACATAAATGCAGCAGGATATAATTTACATTATAGAAGCAGTAGTATGACTTGGAAAGCTGTGGAATATGAAGACGACATATCAGCAATTGTTATGCGTATTTGATGTTGTTATAAGTAAAAAGTACCATATTTTAGATAAAACTTAGTAAGTGAAATGTTTTTGTTTATGTACGTTTAACAATTGCTTTGTTTCATGTTTATTCTACTATAGATATTTTCTGCGTAATTCCAGGTGGCCCTAAATGAAAAGCTAAATAAAAATCGTCCAGAGAGCTGAAATTCTCTGTGGAGTATCGTTACTTTTCAACTTAATCTTGATATCCAATATGGGCACTGCAGGGTTAACCATTATTTGATTTGATTCCAAGATTCACTATACAAAAATTATGACTTGAGCGTGCAGTTTGCATTATATCTTTCAAGAGTGTAATTTTCTGAATAATATTCTGAACATTTTTTTGGAATAAGTTTTGATTATGTTCAAATCGTTTTTAAAAATCTTTCTTCAACAATTTTATGTCTCAAAGCAAACTTTAGACATTTTTTCCTTTTTTTGAATGAATGTATAATGTTTATGTATCTTATCTTATCAAGGATAAAAAAATCTTGAAGAATAAAAATCTCCTTGAAGCATTATTATTATTATTTTCACGAATATGTTTTCTTTTTCACATTTTTATCTAATCTTCAAGCTTAAGGTCGGAAATCTAAAGAAACATTCTGGACAAGAATCACAAAAATAGAATACATTACAAAGTACAAAGATAGCATGCAGTCAATGATACAAAAACTACAGACAGTACAAACAAGAAACGTTGCAATAGCATGCAGTACAAGAAATACAATGATAGCATGCAGTACAAGAAATACAATAAAAGCATGTAGTACAAGAAATACAATAATATACAATAATAGCATTCAGCACAAAAAATACAAAAATTGGTCAATTATG